ATCATCATTATTCATTCACCTGTATACAGTTTATACAGGGAGTGATAGAAAAAAAGTGGTTGACAGTTTAAAATTTTAAAATTTAACACAGAAATTTCCATAGAAAAGGATAAATTTATAGTTCTTTAAAAAAAATATCCTTTAACTTAGTGAGAAGGGTATTAGTATATAAGTTAGTCATTACGTTTGTTATATCTATAATGAATATATTCCGAGTCCTTATATAGCGTAGTCGATTAAGCTATGTCCGTCTGTCTGTATTTTTGTTGAAATCAATTTTCTGAAGACCCCTGGTATCTTCGGGACCCAAATCCTTCTTCTAAAGGTACTTTTTGGAATTTTATATAATATTGAACCTAAAAACATAAAATAAGTAGGTTCAGGGGTACATTAGATCCTATTAAATGGGACTTTTTTGGTATAACTTCGTTCTTCAAATGGTATGTTTTAAATTTACTATAAAAGGGGACTTTTGGTACTTGTTCGTTCTTCAATATTGAAGCTAGAGACATATCGCTAAGCATAGGTATTGTGTTTATAGCATGTTCGTTCTTCAAAAGGTACATTTTGAATTTTCTATAATACTGAACCAAGAAGTAAATGAAAACCTATAAAATGGGACTTTTTGGTACTTTTTCGTTCTTCAAAAGGTACGTTTTAAATTTACTGTAAAAGGGGAAATTTTGGTACTTTTTCGTTCTTCAACATTAAAGCTAGAAACATAATAATAAGTATGTAGAGCCCGAAGTAAATGAGCACCAATAAAATAGGACTTTTAGGTACTTTTTCGATTTTCAAAAGGTACTTTTTGAATTTTCTATAATACAGAACCTAGAAACATGAAATCAAGCATGTACAGCCCGGAGTAAGTGAGAACATATAAAAGGGAACATTTTGTTCTACTTTTTTTGTTCTTCAAAAGGTACTTTTTGGAATTCTCTAAAATATTGCACCTAGAAACATAAAAGTGGTAGGTCCAGGAGTAAAACCTATAAAATGGAACTTTCTGGTACTTTTTCATTCTTCAAAAGGTACGGACGGACATCGTTTATAAAAATTAAGATCTGAAAGAATAAAATATATATTTTTACTTTTTATAGAAAATGTCGTAATTTTGTACCATCAAAGCCACAAAGTTCATGGAGCGAGTTATTGTTTTGGCCGTTTCAGTAGTGGTGATTTTGACCTTTGGAAATCATAGCTTTTGAATTAGAATGTACCGAGGAACTGCCTTTTTAAGAACCTCATATAAGAATACCTCTCAATTGATGCGTATTAAAGTACTGTACACGTGAAAAATATAAAAAAAATTTTGAAGAGAGGTCTCAATTTACTATTAGAGATTAAAAATTTTTAAAAAATTTTCTGGTTCCGAAAATTTCTTTACTTTATGAGCAAAATTATAAAATAATAACCATTTTATTCTTTGTCACCAGGTGTTTTAAACTATTTCAGTACTTAAACTACTACATCATTGTTTCCATAAAGAGTATATGAATGAATGAATGAATGTGTATGAAAAACTTTTATATGGAAAATGAAAATTAATTTTAAAAAACAACAATATCAACAACAGCAACAAGATTTTATAGTAGATTTAATGTGCAATTCAATAAATCTTTTAATTTGTTTAACAAATACTTAACACTTTTTATGTATTTGCATATAAACAACAAACAATACAAAAACACATCAAACACACATACTAATAAAATCACACACAGATTCATTTCTATGCATGGAGATGTTTTTGGAAACATGCAAATGTACTATGGTTATAAAATTCATAGATGTTAACATAGTAAATGCAATTTCTCCAGCATCAATAGAGTGAAAAGGAATATGTAGATTAAAAAAAAAAGGATTTACATTTTTGGGAAATGATGTTTGAGGTTTTCAGAGAATAATTAAATCTTTTTCAACTTTAAACGGTTAAAGTTATAATTTGCATTTGTGTTTGTGGACTTTATTACTTGTTACTCTGTAAATTGGATATGTTTTATGTATTTTATAATTAACATTTATAACATAAAGCTCTATCTGTACATTTGTGTAATTTAAGTCTATAACTATGAGTGTGTGCATCACAAAGTGTATGAGATCGTATTAAAAAAACTGTATTATCATGATGACAACTTTAATAAATTTGCACACATCCAGTCGTAGGTTTATATGAATATAAAAATTTAAACAAAACCCAGCAAAAACTAAGCAACTGTACAGCCACATTTACGAACGGGAAAGTCGAGTGAGCGCATATGTAATCAGTTATTTTTCGAACCACTTCGAGCAAAAATAAGTAGTTTTTTACCCAAAAAGTAACTATCCCCACTTTGCTCTTACATTACTTGCCTGCTTACTGAGTAAGTATAGTTTTTCCGGAGTAGATATGGATTTAATACAGTTTCTCCTCGGACATACATACATACTACATACATACATACATACATACATACATACTACATAACATACATACATACAGACATACAGACAGACAGACAGACAGACAGACAGCAAGATACATACATAACATACATACTACATACATACATACATACATACATACATACATACATACATACATACATACATACATACATACATACATACATACATACAACATACATACATAATACATACATACAGACATACATACATACAGACTACATACAGACATACATACATACATACAACAGACACATACATACATACATACATACATACATACATACATACATACAGACAGACATACATACATACATACATACATACAGACAGACATACAGACATACATACATACATACATACATACATACATACAGACATACATACAGACATACAGACAGACAGACATACAGACATACACATACATACATACAGATACAAACAGACTACAGACAACAGACACATACATACATACAGACAGACATACATACATACAGACATACATAATACAGAAATACATACAGACATACATACATACATACAGACATACATACATACATACATACATACATACATACATACATACATACATACATACATACATACATACATACATACATACATACATACATACATACATACATACATACATACATACATACATACATACATACATACATACATACATACATACATACATACATACATACATACATACATACATACATACATACATACATAGGTGATTTCACACAAACGCAGAGAATAAACATTTCATTTCATAATATAATTTTTGATCTAGTATGTTTTTGCTGGATTACATAAAAACATATTTTAATATATTTAAAGTCTCTCTTTACTTAATGTAAAAGTATGTAAAGGAATTTCTTTATTTTCTCCCCTAAAAAGTATGCAACAAACAAACAAACACTTCTAAATAATTTAGGTTAGTTGTAAAATATTCTATACTCTTTTTGAATTTTTGCCAGTTTTCGCAATGATGATGATTGTCTTTAAATGATAAATATTAATTAACACAAAAAGCATAATTGTCCTTTATGTCAAAGTGTGTATAAAATTGTATGTATGAGTGTATGTTTATTCTATTCTATATTTGTTATATTCCTTTGAGTCTTTATTTATATATGAGTCTGTGTTTATATATGACTCTCTGTCTGTATACAAACATATTTATATCTTTGTGTGTGTTTGTATTGTATTGTTTATATTCCCTCTGTGTAAAATGTTCTTTTATTCAAAAGTTTCTAAAGTAAAGTTTTGGTTATAAATGACCTACTTGTATTCTGGTTTGAAAATATTTCCTTTTTCTTTTCTTCTTCTGCTTTTCGAAACTTTATTTTAAAAGGAAAATAACCAACAACATTATATTCAGTCTCTGGTGGTAAAAATCATTAACAATAACCACATTTTTATTATTATTTTTTGTTGTTATTGTTGTATATTATTTAAAGATATTAAAGGATTAAGTGAAGTTTAAATAAGTATTTACAGACAGACAGTTTATACCAGCTATGCAAAATATTTATTATGTATTTGAAAGTGTATACCAGTTTTATTTTAGTTTTTTTTAATAGACTTACTTTTCTGTAATAATAAATAAAATATTTATGAATTTTAAGTAAATAATAAAATACCTTTTAATTCATTTATATTATTTTCTTTTGGTTTATTTTACAGATTATTCTCTCTTTAAAGGGGTCAGTGCTTGGTATTAAATAAATATTTGTTTTGTGTAAAATAAGAAATTATTTTGTAATTTATTTATTTTAATATTTTAAAGTCATAAGTGGTATTTAAAAATCAAATTTATATTGCAAATCAAAGAATTTATTTATTAGAAAAATTTCAAGAATTTTTTTAGAAAATATTCAAATGGAATTACTTCTACATAGGAAATGCTTCAGTAAAGGTAATGAATGTAAATTTTAGCTATAGACTAGACGATAGACTAGACTATAGGCTAGACTATAGGATAGACTATAGACTAGAATATCGGCTAGACTATAGACTAGACTATAGACTAGACTATAGACTAGACTATAGACTAGACTATAGACTAGACTATAGACTAGACTATAGACTAGACTATAGACTAGACTATAGACTAGACTATAGACTAGACTATAGACTAGACTATAGACTAGACTATAGACTAGACTATAGACTAGATTATAGACTAGACTATAGACTAGACTATAGACTAGACTATAGACTAGACTATAGACTAGACTAGACTAGACTATAGACTAGACTATAGACTAGACTATAGACTAGACTATAGACTAGACTATAGACTAGACTATAGACTAGACTATAGACTAGACTATAGACTAGACTATAGACTAGACTATAGACTAGACTATAGACTAGACTATATTATAGACTAGACTTTTCGCAGGCAATTTAACGTAACTTCACCTTAATAAAACTCCATATCTGCCTATTTTTATTAAAATTTGATTAATATCCTTTAAGGAACCCCTTTTCTCAACATCAATTGAAATTTTTTTTAACAAAAATTAAATCTCACTTACCCGCTTTACATGGATCCATATCGATATCATTTGATATTTTCTTTTCGAACTTCGTACTCAACAAATCCTCTATGGAATATTTGCTGTGATGTTTGTGCCAGGGTATTTGGGAATAATATTCATCCGCACTTATAATGGCGGGAAATGGGGAATTTTGCTTGAGTTGTTGATGATCACCACCAGCATCATCATTAACTTTAATGAAATCATAATTGTTTAGCATATTGTTGTTTTCGTTGTTGTGTGAATGTTGATGATGTTGATGGTGTTGAGATGTTGGTGATAAATGTTGATGTTGGTTGCCATAATGGCTTTGGTGTTGATGATGATGTTGCTGTTGTTGCTGATGATGATGATCAAAGTGCTGGTGTTGATGTTGTGGATGTCTAGTATGTTGCACTTGTTGTTGCTGCTGCTGTTGTTGTTGTAAAATATTTTCTTGTAATGAAAAATTATTTTCAGAATGCGTAGGAATATTTCTTCTGCTGTCTGCAGTTATGCTGTTAATATCTTGAGCATTTGTATTGTGGCTGTTTGTACGGTTATTTGCGTCTGTGTCTATGGCAGTATTTAAGGCATTCATAGTTGTGGTGGTGCTGGAGGATGCTGTGGCAACCTTCAATTCCCTCACCACTGGTAAATTGTATAGTGATGTTTCTTGTAATTCTATTTCAACTGCTTCTTCGGCAGCCTCGGCCTCCTCTTCTTCATCTTGCGATAAATGCTGTAATTTTTGTACAGATGTTAAGGACGTATCTGATGGCAATGAGGACGATGACGATGATGATGATGCTCCTGCTGTTAAGGGTACAAATGCTGGTTCTATTGCTGCTGCTGTAACTGTCGCTGTGTTAGTGTTGACATTTAAGTGGGCACTTTTCACACATGATGCTGTAACTACAACAAATATTGTTGTAATTATAAATGCTGCATAATTTCGTAGGTTGGTGTGGCGTCGTCGTTGTTTTCTTCTTAAACTGTATTTTTGAAATTTTAATTTCTCCATAATGTTGTTTTGAAAAAAACACTTTTAATTATAGTTGTTGTTGTTCTTGTTTGCTCAACAATATCAATATATTATTTTTAATTATTTTTATATAAAGAAATTCGTTTACTTAGTTTTCATTGTATTGTATTAAACAATTTATAAATATATTTGACTGTTTTAATTTTCTTTAATAAGTTAATAAAACTGTATATTTAACTTTAAGCTGCTCATGTGTGTTTTAATTAAAAATTGCAAACAAATATTAAAACTTCAATATATGGTTTTTTCCAGTTAGTAATTTATCATTTAGTAGCCAACCATTACAGCACAAAAATCTATAAAGAAAAATAGACAAAAAAAATATAGAGATTAATTTAGGTATTGTGTGCCAAATTTGATAAAAAAATAACTTATTTAAAGCAATAAATTGAAACCTTAAAAGATTAATATTTTTGGGGCAAAAATTGTAGCCAATAAAATTGGAGAAACCTACAAATTCATTTCAAAAAATAAAACTAATCAATAGAAAAATGTATTCGACGACTATGAGGGCTTGATATGTACCTGTTTTCACAGAAAATTCGCAATAACTTATTAATTATTTACATAAAACTAATTATAAATTATAATTTAGCAAATTCTTTTTTTAAAGAAAATTCGTGAAAAATTGTCATATTACTGAGAGTTCGAACTAAATTCTTTAATTTAAGCAAATTCCTAAAAAATTTGCATTTAATTCCAAATTTAAACAAAATTAAATTATCAACTTAAAGAAAATTCTGTATGCGCTCTCTCTTATAAAAAGTAATTCTCTATTTAAAAATAATTCGTGATAAATTCTAAAAACATTTTTTTTCTTTATAAATATTTTAAAAAAATTCTATAAATTTAGCACTTAATTCACTTTTTATGGAAATTTGGTTAAAAATTCTTGTTTTGCAGAAAGTTCACGAAAAATTCTTATTTAAACTTAACTTAAAATAAAAAATCGTAATAAATTTTCTAATCGAAAAAAAAACGTAATAAATTTACAGGGGAATTCGAACTAAATTCTTTATTTAAAGCAAATTCATATAAAATTCTCCTAATTTAAACAAAATTAAATAATCTACTTAAAGAAAATTCTTTAATCGTTCTCTCTTATAAAATAATAATAAATAAAAAAGAAAATTCGCGATAAATTCTTAAAAAAATACATTCCATTTTTTAATAATTTATAAACAAAGTCATTAAATTGTTTTTTACAGGAATTTCGCAATAAATTTTATATTAAAACAAAATAAATTTTTTTCAAAAAATTCTTGTTTTACAAAAAATTTGCGATAAATTCATAATTTAAAGGAAATTTTAAATAAATTCTCTATTTGAGGAAAATTCGTCCTCAAATACATTCTTTATTTTCTATAAATAAATTCTCTATTTATAGAAAAAAAAAAACATTATATTTATAAATTTATAAAATAATCGCGAAAAAAATCTTTTTTAAGAAAAATTCTTAAAAAATTTTGTATTTAAAGAAAATTTCTACTTAATTCTCTTTTTTAGAAAATACATGAAAAATTATCGTTTTACAGAAATTTCACAATACACTTTTCATTTAAAATTTCATTTTCTATTTGAAGAATATTCGTGATAAATTCTCTATTTATATAAAATTCACCATAATTCAAAAAAAAAAAAAATCATTCTTATTATAATATTTTTTTTAAATAGTCGCAATACTTTATTAATTTAAAGAAAATTCTTCAAAATATTTGTATTTATAGAAAATTTACACTTAATTCTTACAAATTCGTCAGTATTATTCGTTCACTATTTATAGAATATTCGCGATTAATTTAAGAAAAAACTTTTTATAAATTTATAAAAAAATTATAAATTATTCTTTTAGCAATAAATTCTGTATTTATAAAAAATTTACTGTTAGTTGTTATTTTTACAAAATTCGTGAAAAACTATGATTTTTTATTCAAAAATTGCATTTAATTCTCTATTTAAAAAATTCTTCAAAAAGTCTCGTTTTATAGAAAATTTACAATTAATTTTGTTTAAAATAAATTTCAAATTCTTCATTTTTTATTTGAAAAAAAAAACTCGAAATAAATTCTTTATTCAAAGAATATTCGTAATAAATTTTGCTAATTCGCGAAAAATTCTAAAAAAATAATTTTATTTTAAAAATATTGCAATAAATTTTGTATTTACACATAACTTGCACATAATTCTCTTTTTTTCTGAAAATTCATGAAAAAATTCTATTCCTCTATAGAAAATTCGTGACAAATTTTTTTTTAGAAAATTCATGAAAAATGCTCATTTTATAGAAAATTCGTGATAAATTAAATTTGAAAGTATTTATTAAAAAAAGTCAAGTTTTTCATTTTAAGAAAACTCCTGATGAATTCTCTTTTTACTGAAAACTGGCGATATATTCTTTGCAGAAAATTAGCTATCATTTATGAAAATTCGTGATAAATTCTCTATTTTCATATTATAAATTCGCACTTAATTCTAATAACTTATAACTATTTAATAAATAGTTATCTAGCAATAAATTCATAATTGCTGGAAATTCGCTGGAAAATTAAATATAAAGAAATTTCTTAATATATTCTCTACTGATTTAAAATTCATGATAAATTCTTTCTTTAGCATAGGGAATTCTTTATAAATTCTCTATTTAAAGAAAATTTTGTGCAACATAGTTTATTAAAAAATTATTGTGATAAATTTTCTTTTTATAAAAAAAAATGTATGATGATTTTAATATTTATAGAAAATTTGCTATAAATTTTATATTTAAAAAACCATAGAAATGTTCAACCAAAGGCAAGCTAACAATATAGCGAAATTAGAAAAAATCCTTTAAACTTCAAAGCAACAAGCGAAAAAAAAACACACAAACTAAGCTAAAGACAGTAAATTTTTAATATTTCTTTTGAGTTTTTAATAAAACTGAATGTATACAATATTAAAACGCATTTCATCTATTTTCCCCCCTCCAATGGAATACATAGACCATGAGAGGTTCTATTCACATTCATAAAGTAATGAGGAGGAGAAGATAGAAGAATGATGTATAAGAATATGAATTCCATTGAGTACTTTATTTTTTTTGTTGCAATCTATCAATATATTGTTGAATTGTGGCATTTAATATGAGCGATCATACATTTTACATATATTTACATGCAAACAATGTGTACAAATTGAAAAGTCTATTTTTTAGCTCTAAAAAAAAGAGAGCAAGCTGAAAGAATAATAAATAAATAAAAATATTTTATTTATTCTTTAATCATCCATACATACATACATACATATGTGTCGTTTGTATTAAATAATATAATTTAATTCATAGGAATTATCTCTTTGTTACTATACATCGTACTCGACCAAAAAGGTCTGGGTCATTTGATTTTCAATTCACATATAACAATCGCATTCGCCATATATAGTCAACAGAGATGTGTGAGAGTTTGTTTTAGAAAAATGCATATTAATTTTATTAGTTTTATTCGCCTCACTTAATAATTTAGAATGTGTTATGTAAAGGGTTTGACAAAAATTGTAACCAAAACTTTTTTTTAAAACAAATATTCTTTGAGAATTTAAACTCTGGGTTTGTTCATATTTAAAGAAAATTCCCCTATATAACAAATTGTCTATTTATAGAATATTTGCGACAATTTCTCTATATTCTTGATATTTGTAATAAATTCGCGAAAAATTCTTTAGCAGAATGAAATTGGCCACCACTTTTTTTAAAAAAGATGCTTAAGAAATACTTAGTTTAAATAATATTTTAAATAAATTGTAAATTCTCTATTTATAGGAAATTCGTGAGAAATTCTAAAGTTTAAAAACAATTTTTGAGAAAATTTATTATTAATTTCTAGAAAATTTGCGATAAATTATTATTAAAAAAATATGTTGAAAACAATTAGTATAAAATTAGAAAAATTCTCTGTTTACAGAAAATTTGCCAAAAATATTTTTATAGGAAATTCGTGAGATTTTTTTTTTAATTCGTAAATAATTCTTAGGTTATGGAAAATTCGCGACAATTTTGGAATTATCTTATTACATAAAACTCATTAACATTTTTCTATTTCTAGGAAATTCGGTATAAAAAATGTATTTTCAATATCTTTTGGTTGAATTTTTCAATTACTTTTTTATTAAATATTCGCGAAAATTTTCCTATTTTTAGGAAATTTTCAATAATAAATTCCCTATTTGTACAAAAATTACCACAAATTCGTTATAAATTCTCTACTTACGTGAAAATTCGTGAAAGTTCTCTAGTTTTATAAAATTCTTTGGAAAGTCTTAATGCTAATATTATAAATTCGTGAACAATTCTTTACTTTTAAAAAATACCTTAAAAAATTCTTTATTTTTAAAAAACTTGTAAGAAATTCTCATTATTGTTTATTTATGGGAAATTCGCTATAAATTATGAATTTAATCATTACGTATGATATTAGTAATATATTAGGAAATAGTCTTTATTTATAGAAAACTCGTGAAAATTTCTCTGTTTACAGAAAATTCACCATTAATTCTCTGTTTATAGGAAATTCGTGAAAAAATCTTTTTTTGTAATTCGTAAGAAATTCTTTAGTTGTGGAAAATTCGCAACAATTTTGTATATTATAGAATTAAAAAATAGTTTTTTTTTTAAATTTTTCTATTTTAAAGAAATTCGCGATAAATTCTCTATTTAATGAACATTTCTAATAAATTTTCTATTTTAAGGAAATTTGAGAAAAATTCTCTATATTTAGAATATATTCGTGATAAATTCTTTATGTATTAAAAATTCTTTACAGAAATTTCAATATAAATTCTCTGTTTAGAAGAAAATTCGTGAACTTTATAAATCGAAAGAAATTTTTTAGTTGTAGAAAATTCGCAGCAGTTTTGTAAATTATAGAATTAAAAAATAATTTTTTTGAAAATTTTTCTATTTTAAGGAATTTTTTTTTTTTTTAATTCGAAACAAATTCTTTAGTTGTAGAAAATTCGCAACAATTTTGTAAAATATATAATTAAAAAATTTTTTATTTTTTTTTTAATTATAATTTTTCATAAATTCTCTGGGTAGGAAATATTTTAGAAATTCTCTTAAGAATATACTCGTGATAAATTCTTTGTGTATAGAAAATTCGTCACAAATCTTTATATTTGAAAATTCGTAAGAAAACCCTTGTTTATAGAAAACATGCGACAATAAATAACTTCTTTATGAGTTGAAAATTTAGAAATTTAGAAAATTTATTATAAATTTTCTATTTGTAAAAAAAAAATCGCGATAAATTTTCTATTTAAAGAA